AGAAGCTGGGGCTAACGGCAGGAGCTCACTCCACTCCCTAAATTCAAACCGCCAACCTTTTGGTCAGCAAGTTCAGCAGCTCAGTTCAGTTGGTACTGGATGAATATGGGTGAACTTAAAAGCAGTTTAACACACTGTGCCACCAGGGCCTTGGCTAAGCAGGGTTCAGTTCCTGGTCTCCTAGAGTCCTGGTTTGGCATTCAAATACTGGACCCATTGACATTTGGTGAATGGATTTTATCTGTGTGAGCCTTCAAGTTGCCTATCAACTTATGGTGACCCCATGATTTTTTTGCCAGAAAGAAATACTCAAGAGGATGTTTTGATCATCCCTCCATTGGAACCATAACCTACAGCAGCACTTGGTTGGCAGTCTTCCATCAAAGGTCCCTTCCACACAGCTATATAATCCAGAATATCAAGGTAGAAAATCTCACAATATCTGCTTTGATCTGGGTTATCTGCATCCATACTGCCATATATTCTAGTTCAAAGCAGATAATGTGGGATTTTATTCAGCTGTGTGGTAGCGGCCATTATATTAACCAGAGTTGACCCTGCTTAATGCAAGACCAGATGGGATCTGGTGCCTTTGAAGTATTGCCAAAATCTGAATTCTCTCCTTTGGGCATCACGAAAGACATTACATTGTAGTAATTCCCCAAAGATGCTGCAGCAGCTTCAAGTCCAATTATAATAAGAAGTCTGGCCTGAGTCTTCCAAATCTACTATTTGAAGAAAGGACAATATAAAGCAAAGAAATAGAGAAATAATCAAGAGCCTTCTTCCTGGTATATATCAGGCAATGTAGACTCTTATATAGAGGAAAAAATCAGGTAGGTTTAAAGGACCTTTTCTTTCCACATGTCATTCCCTCCAAACACAGAGATGTAATGCAGATGCTCATTTAAAGCAACAGAAAAGAACAAAAGGGGGGAAAGCAACATCCATCAGAGCCTTCTTTTCAATACTTAAGCATATCAATGCTTGTTGATTGGGAATGGGGATTCAATTGCTCTTTTCTCCTCCCTGCTGGTAGTACCCCCTAAGTGAGTCTGCTGGTGAATCCTCCTTAAAACTATTCAGCTGCCCTGTCGGGGAGGCCTTCAAATTCCCTTAGCATTACTTACTTGAATCACATTGAATAAACAGTCTCCACCCGTCACCTACTTCTTTTGTCTATAGCAGCTATTCACAGAGAGCTACCTTTATTGACTGCAAGGTAAGGCGGCATGAAAAACTGGAGAGGTAGTTAGAACAAGCTGCGCTAGAAAAACAGACCTTCTGCTGGAGGCAACAGAATCCACAGGCAGCCCAGCTATGATAGGGTGTAATTTTAGATTCACTGCACTGGCCGTAAAAACATACCCATGGTCCAAAGAACAAACCTTCCTTTACAAGTCTGCTTGCATGCATCCATTTCTCACCAAAGAAGCCCAGATCGCCTTTGCACAATAAGCCAAGCAAACTTTTTTTTTTCACCTTTCATGGAGTAATCATTGTGGGGACAAACTTCCCAGCAAAAGTTAAGAATCTATATAAATAAAAATGTAATGTTTGTTTGTGGGATGAACAGAACTCAAAAACCACTGGACGAATTGACATCAAATTTGGACACAAGACACCTAACAACCCAATGTATGTCCTTCACTCAAAAAAATGATTTTGTCATTCGGGAGTTGTAGTTGCTGGGATTTATAGTTCACCTACAATCCAAGAGCATTCTGAACCCCACCAACGATGGAATTGAACCAAATGTGGCATAACAGGACTCCCATGACCAACACAAAGCACAAGAAGGGTTTGGTGAGCATTGACCTTGTGTTTGGGAGTTGTAGTTCATCTATATCCAGAGAGCACTGTGGACTCAAACAATGATGGATCTGGACCAAACTTGGCACGAATCCTCAATATGTCCAAATGTGAACACTGGTGGAGTTTGGGGAAAATAGACCTTGACATTTGGGAGTTGTAGTTGCTGGGATTTATAGTTCACCTACAATCAAAGAGCATTCTGAATTGGGGCAAACTTCCCACACAGAACCCCCATGACCAACAGAAAATACTTAAGGCCATCCAGTCCAACTCCCTTCACCAGGGCAAGAAAACATAATCAAAGCCTTCCTGATAAAGAGCCATCCAGCCATACATATAGATATGTATGATTAACACACAGAGAGATATAGTATAATAGATTTGAAAGGGACCCCTAAAGGACAATTCTATGTCGCATGTTCCAGAGTAGGCAAACCAGACAATCCCTACATCAACACTGACAAACAAACAAGAAATACTTTTTACAAGCATAAAGAAATTACATATATTAGAAACCAACAATTTCTCATTACTTTGTTTTCCAGATCACTAGACTGGGCCACAGCAAAGCGTGGCAGGGGATGGCTGGTCTTAAATGTGGGGATTGCTTTCAAACCGGGTTGTTGCAGGTTTTTTGGGCTATATGGCCATGTTCTAGAAGCATTCTCTCCTGACCTTTCGCCTGCATCTGTGGCAAGCATCCTCACAACTTCTGAGGATGCTTGCCACAGATGCAGGCGACATGTCAGGAGAGAATGCTTCTAGAACATGGCCAAACAGCCCTAAAAACCTGCAACAACCCAGTGATTCCAGCCATGAAAGCCTTCGACAATGCTTTCAAACAATTGCCTCATTAATATCAGGATCTAAAATGAGATTTAAGACTAAATGCTATTAAAAAGGTATAATGTATCTACTGAACCAAATTAAAATTGTGTTGTCAAAGGCTTTCATGGTCGGAATCACTGCACTGCTGCAAGTTTTCTAGGCTGTATGGCCATGTTCCAGAAGCATTCTCTCCTGACGTTTCATCCACATCTATGGCAMGCATCCTCAGAGGTTGTGACATTTGTTGGAAACTAGGCAAGTGAGGTTTATATATCTGTGGAATATCCAGGGTGGGAGAAAGAACTCTTGTCTGCTTGAGGCAAGTGTGAATGTTGCAATTAGCCACCTTGATTAGCATTGAATAGTCTTGCAGCTTCAAAGCTTAGCTGCTTTCTGCTTGGGGGAATCCTTTGTTGGAAGGTGATTAGCTGGCCCTGATTGTCTCTTGTCTGGAGTTCCCCCAATTTTTGAGTGTTACTCTTTATTTAAACCCCACTTACGTAGTTTCCAACAAACCTCACAACCTCTTGCCTGCCATAGACGTGGGTGAAACGTCAAGAGAAAATGCTTCTGGAACATGGCCCAGAAAACTCACAGCAATCCAAATTAAAATTCCAATCATTTAGATATCCTTTATTTTTAGTCATGTTCCATCTCACAGAATGGATGTTCTTTGTTGCAGAACCCTAAGAATCAAACCACATTTAGCTATATAGCCAGTAGTCCATTCCCATCAACAATGCCAATACTTCTTGGAAGATTCTGAAATAATAATGTTTCCAACCTTTTCAGCTATTCAAAGCAACCTATTGCTTATCTCTTACAAATGAATCAACCACACTTAGGGCAAGTCTACTTATACTTATTTCACCCATCACAAGAAGCTAATCTTTCCTAATTCTGGCAGTTCTTTCATATTCTACAGAACAGCATTCTCTCAAACTCTACCTCCACACAAATATTTTGAATATGGACCAAGAAACAATAAAAGTTTTTTTAAAAAAAATTAAATACCTGGTGATGCATCATTCACCACAGTAGAATGACAATAATAATATCACTCACACTATAACTCTGGTGACTATTCTACAAAAACAAATGCCACACTCTCAACCAGAGACTGAATGTGCATAAAGCTCACCAAAAGTCAACATGACAATGGCTAACAGTAGCTGCAGTGGATAGCACACAGGGTTTAGATACAGTAAATCCATATTATTCCCTTTTGAGCTTCAATCTATATAAATAAAAATGTAATGTTCATTTGTGGGATTAACATAACTCAAAAACTACTGGGCGAATTGACACCGAATTTGGACACAAGACACTTCTCAGGCCAACGAGTGACCATCACTCATAAAAACAATGAAAAAAACTGCTGAAGGGACTTCAAAAGCCAAATAATAAATATACATTACAATGCATGTGCAAAACCACATATACAGAAATATATACACACATATATACAGACACAAAACACATATACACAGGCTGGGCCACAGCAACGCATGGCAGGGGACAGCTAGTGGTAATTAATCTGAGATGCACCACTGTGTCTCAACCCAAATTGCCTGCACATTGTGAAGCTAAGATGATGCTCAGGGCCCTTCCAGGCAGGCCCTATATCCCAGGATCTGATCCCAAGTTTTCTGCTTTTAGATAGATTATACAGGAGTCCGCACTGCCAGATAATCTGGGATAAACGGAAAACCTGGGATCAAATCCTGTCTTGAAGGGCCTTCAGATGATACACAGCTAAGACTAAATATTACATGCAAGCCGAGAATTATATTTTCTTTTTAAAATCTGAATCACACTTTATGTAACAATAAGTGATAGAAAACAGTTCAACAGCGGTTCCCAACCTTTGGTCCTTCAGGTGTTTTGGACTTCAGCTCCCACAATTCCTAACTGCTAGTAAACTTACTGGCTGGGATTTCTGGGAGTTGAAGTCCAAAACACCTGGAGGACCAAATGTTGGGAACCACTGCTTTATACAAAGTGAATGTAATTTTTCTGATAGGACATTGAAACTCTTTGTATTTTGCTATGGAGAATTTACACCTCGGGCCATTGCTTTTCAATCTTCATTATATATTTTTACTGCACATTTTTAGTGTTCTGGCCAAAGCCATGAAAACTAGATAGTATAGGATTCCAAAATACTTTAGAAGTCTTAAGTGACCCATAAAATGCATGACAGCCTCCACTGCATCATTGAAAACCAAAAACATTCATAAATTCAACAGATAAACTGTTAGTTAGATACATCCATTGCTCCCTTTTGGCTCACCCAACATTATAAATAAGGATATTTATTGGAGCAAGATCAATAGAAAATTTAAAGCAGTTCCTACCCTTTCTAAACTTTAGGTTGTTCTTCGAAAATGTACTTTATATCTGTAAAAAGAGAAAGATAATATAAATTACTGTGAGAAAGTGCGCATCAATTATATATAATTCTGTTTAAAAATCAAACGCTATCAGTACTTGGAAAAGTAATTCCCAGAATCCCTGTGACCATCCTAGCTGTCATTTGTCCCAGTTTCCCAAGATATAATTATTCACGTGGTACAATACACTATTCAGACAATACAAAACAACTTGAGGCAAAAGGCAAAATCTTTGAGAGTGTCAGTAAAGGTACACATCTTGACTCTATGAGCACTCTAACGTCTTTGTGTCCTCACATATCTTACTGATGTTTGAATGAAAAACATTACATCCCATCTGTGTTTGAATTCACTACACAGGCCAGTGTTTGAAGGGCTTCAAGGGGAGAGATAAACAAAAATTAAGGAGAACGTGTTGTTGAAGGCTTTCATGGTCAGAATCATGGGTTGCTATGAGCTTTCCGGGCTTTATGGCCATGTTCCAGTAGCATTATCTCCTGACGTTTCGCCCACATCTATGGCAGGCATCCTCAGAGGTTGAGGGGTCTGTTGGAAACTAGGCAAATGAGGTTTATATATCTGTGGAGTGTCTAAGGTGGGAGGAAGTACTCTTGTCTGCTTGAGGCAGGTGTGAATGTTGCAATTGGCCGGCTTGATTAGCATTTAATAGCCTTGCAGCTTCAAAGCCTGGCTGGTTGCTGCAGGGGGGATCTTTTGTTCAGAATCAATCAATGAGAGCTAATGCCTCTCAACAAAGGATTCCGACAGGCATCAACCAGCCAGGCTTTGAAGCTGCAAGGCTATTCAATGCTAATCAGGGTGGCCAGTTGCAACATTCACACTTGCCTCAAACAAAAAAAAGGTTCTTTCACACACCCTGGACACTCCAGATATATAAACCTCACTTGCCTAGTTTCCAACAAGCCTCACAACCTCTGAGGATGCCTGCCATAGATGTGYGTGAAACGTCAGGAGAGAATGCTTCTGGAGCATGGCTATACAGCCCAGAAAACTTACAMAAACCCAAAAATTAAGGAATTACTTGGTTAAGGTTTACACCACCTTTAAACCTTCTATAAACTGGAGGCTATAATATGTTTTGATGGGTTGTCGCCATTAATCTCTATTTATATTTAAAAGATAGACACCCGATTAATTTGTAGGGAAGCCATTCATAAGTAAATTTTAATCTTAGATTAAGGAGTAACGAGTAATTCTCAATGAATTATCCATGACAAAGAGAAGTTGTTCCTCTATATTTTGTATATAAGTAATAAACCTGTCATATGACATCATATTTGAAATTTCAACAACAATAACATAATACTTTATCTTATCAATAGATATGTGTTTTTATATACTGTATATACTCGAGTATAAGCCTAGTTTTTCAGTCCTTTTTTTAAGGATGAAAAAATCTCCCCCAGCTTATACTTGAGTCAATATTATTTATTATTTTACTTTGTTGTTGTTCTTATTATTATTACATTTATTATTTTATTGTTGTTGTTATTATTACATTTATTATTTTACTGTATCGTTATTATTACGTTTATTATTTTACTCTATTATTATTTATTTTACTCTATTATTATTATTTTACCCTATTTATTATTATTGGAGGACATGTAAGCCTATTTACATTGAAGAAGGTTAGAATAATGGTTTAATCAAAGTTGGACAGTCTCATCTTGAATTACAGCTTTATGTAAATATTCAAAAATATGTAACCTACTGATGCCTAAATTAATATAATTTTATTGGTATCTATTTTTATTTTGAAATTGACCCGTATTGACTCAGCTTATATTCGGGTTGGCTTATACTCGAGTATATACGGTAATTCTAAATGAATTCAATAGGACATCCACCTAAAGCACCTGTTCTAACTACACTTGCAGGAAAATAAATTCCACAGAACTCTACAGAATTGCTTATTTGCAAGATAATATTAATATTATTAGTCCCACAATATCATTAGTTCTCTGATATATACTGCTTTATAAAGACATAGATTGAAACAATATGTTGTGTGTCACTATTGTCAGGATACTCAGCAACAGGAGTTTATTCACAATCCCGAATCGTATTTCCAAATACGAAAACATTAAACACTAGGGTTTTGTTTTGTCTGAACTGAAAGTTAGAGATGCCCAGCTTTTAATTACGAACAAATGTAATTTCATGTCATTTACCCAAGGAAAGGAACAAGAGAATGAATCCCTGATAGATGCACTTGGGTTAATTTTAGCATCCTTCTGTTTAGCTGCTTAGCAACACTTATCCTATGACCTTCTACACACCATCTACTTTCGCAAGGGATAACAAGTATAACCTCAGTGATCCAGCAATGATAACCAGTTTTGACTAGCTATGCAAGAGTGCCTAAAATCAGTGATTGCTCGAGGAAGAAAGGAATACTAACACGTACGTCTCGAAACAAAAGAACTTCACAAATAGGAGGGGGGGGGGAACCAATCTATATATGGGGGGAAAGTGATGGAGATTCATAAAACTTTTTTTAAAAAATGCTGTCTGCTTGTAGGCCCAACTACACTAAACAATGACCCTAGTAACAAAATTTAAAAATCCCAATTTTCACACCTGTCATTTTGTTTCAACCAAATTCTTGACCATCAAAAAGCAAAACAAGGTTCACCATATGATGCAAAGATGGATGTACCACCTGTACTGTATAAATACAAAATAAAAGCCTAACTACTCTTAAGTTCACTCAGTACCAATTGAACTGCGCTGCTTTTTTGTTTTGGTCGTGTCAGGAGAGACATGAGAAACTGCAAGTCACTTCTGGTGTGACTTGCAGTGACTTGGAGAATTGGCTGTCTGCAAGGACGTTGCCCAGGGGGCACCTGGATGTTTTGATTTTTCACCATCCCTGTGGGAGGCTTCTCTCATGTCCCCGCATGGAGAGCTGGAGCTGACAGAAGGAGCTCATCTACACTCTCCCCAGATTCGAACCTGCGACCTGTGGGTCTTCAGTCCTGCCGGCACAGGGGTTCAACCCACTGCACCACCGGGGTGTTGCTATCAGCCACCTTGATCAGCACTTAACAGCCTTACATCTTCAAGGCCTGGCTGCTGCCTGCCCAGGGGAATCCTATATATATATATATATATACACACACATATCTCTGTGGAATGATGTCCAGGGTGGGAGAAAGAAAGAACTCTGGTCTGTTGGGGGCAAGTATGAATGTTGATATTGGCCACCTTAATCAGCACTGAATAGCCTTGCAGCTTCAAGGCCTGGCTGCTTCCTGCCCAGGGGAATCCTATATATACATATACATATACATATATATATATCTGTGGAATGATGTCCAGGGCGGGAGAAAGAAAGAACTCTGGTCTGTTGGGGGCAAGTGTGAATGTTGCTATTGGCCACCTTGGTTAGCATTGAATAGCCTTGCAGCTTCAAGGCCTGGCTGCTTCCTGCACGGGGGAATCCTTTGTTGGGAGGTGTGAGCTGGAACTGATGATGGGTTTTAGGCAGGCATGGGCCAACTTCGCCCCTCCTTCCAGGTATTAGGAAGGTAGGAGCTGGAGTCCACAACACCTGGAGGGAGGGCCCAAGTTGGCCCATGCTTGCTTTAGGCCAGTCTAGGGGGTGTGGCCTATCTATTCAGTGGGCGTGGCCATATTCCCAGCCCAGCCCCCCCGACTGAGCTGCTGAACTTGCTGACGAAAGGTTGGTGGTTTGAATTTGGGAAGCGTGGGGAGCTCCCGCTGTTAGCCCCAGCTTCTGCTAATCTAGCAGTTTGAAAACATGCAAATGTGAGTAGATCAATAGGAACCGCTACTGCAGGAAGCAAACGGCGCTCCATGCAGTCATGCTGGCCACATGACCTTGGAGGTGTCTATGGACAATGCTGGTTCTTGGGCTTGGAAATGGAGATGAACACCGCCTCCCAGAGTGGGACAAGACTAGACTTAATGTCAGGGGAAACCTTTATCAACTTTATACAACTTTATCAGGCTTGAATGTAAGGTCTGCCTGATTATGAAAAGAAATAAAAATAAACTGCATTTAAAAACAGGCCTTTCACAACTTCAACGTTTATGAAAAACTGCACCAAACTGCAATGGTGCAAATATTACTTTTCTACGCACAGCTAGCCCTACACTTTTCCATTTGGATATGGTTGGGATTACTGCGAGACAGAGACATCAGCTTCTGGGCGACTGCACTGAAACAACTAAAACCATTAGGTGTGTCTTAAGTGAAGGATGAAAAGAAGTGTTGTGGTCGCTTGATTGATTGGATGATGGAGCCATGCTGTTTCGGAGTTCCTAACACACAAAGGGGCCTATTCTCCAAGGGATGTACATAACACCCGCTGATGCTAATGGGCATTATGCAGACACATCAAGCCAGGGCTACACCTCTAAGCCTTTCAAAGGAGGGGGGGGGAAAACAGAACCCTAAAACAAATATGGCTGGTGTGATCATGAGTCACTTGGCATAGCCTTCTCTCTAGCATGTGCGCTCAAAAGCAGCATTCAGTTTTCTAAAGGGTAAGTTTTGTCAACCTTTCTCATATCCTATCAGAGAGTTTATCTACTACAGAGCTTCTTAAAGTTTTCCATTTGGGACCCCTTCTGGCCTGAGAAATGTTTGTGCGGCCCTAGGTATGTAAGTATATAAAACCAAACATTTATAGGTTGCTGTGAATTTTCTAGCCATGTTCCAAAAGCATTCTCTCCTGACGTTTCACCCACATCTATGGCAGGCATCCTCAGAGGTTGAGGGGTCTGTTGGAAACTAGGCAAGTGGGGTTTATCTATCTGTGAAATGTCCAGGGTGGGAGAAAGAACTCTTCTCTGCTTGAAGCAAGTGTGAATGTTGCAATTGGCCAGCTTGATTAGCATTTAATGGTCTTGCAGCTTCAAAGCCTGGCTGGTTGCTGCCTAGTTCTTTCTCCCACCCTGGAATTGTGAGTTTTCCAGGCTGTACAGCCATGTTCCAGTAGCATTCTCTCCTGACAT